GTCTTTGTGTTTCGCTTCTTGGCCGGGTGTGAGTCGAGCGGCGGACTCGTCCCCTCCTCGGGCGATCACTTCTGCGACATGCATGTGCTCGACATTTACCTTGGCGACCGCCGTGCGGAGCGTACACCACTCCAGGCGGCTCTTAGGTCTGTGGATTTTCCCAGAGTCAGGATGATCGCGGCTTGTAGTTTGTAGGGTGAGGAGACGGCAGTTGGCTGATATGTTGATCATGTTCTGCCAGAAACGTGGTCCCATATTTACCCGTCTTCGCTCGAGATATTGATCTGTATATCTCTTCGCTCGAGGTATTGCTCTGTACATTAGTAGCTTGGCCAGTGCACGCGTGAGCGTACACGGCGCGTGTTGCTCTCGGTGCTTGCACAATTTGCATGTCGTAATTGCTGGACTTCTTTCATGTGCAAGTCGAAGTCGTCTCCAGTTGCTCGCTCCTTCTCCCTTCCCGAATCCGCTGCAGAGTAAGTGCCTCTGCTGATGTCTTCTTCCGTTGCCCGCTCTCTCATCATTCTCTGTTGTAGTCCGTTCTCTCAGGAGTCCCAACGTTTGTTTCGCTTGAAGCATCTGCTGCGTGCAGTGGTTTTGGTGTCGGCACCTTGTGGGAGGATTGCAGGCAGGTGCGCCGGCCCCACTGAGTGGCTTCCGCGAGTGAGTTGCGACCACGGATGTCCACTGCTTGGCCAGAGGGTAGTTAGACTGCGGTTCGAACCCCCCTCCCCTCGAAAACCAAGGGGGGGTGCGGACAGTGGTGGGGACGGTGGAGGTGGGGACAGTGGTGAGGGGACAGCGGGACAGTGGTAGGGACAGTGGGACAGTGGTGGGGACAGTAGTGGTGGGGACGGTGGTGAGGACAATGGTGGGAACAGTGGTGACAGTGGACAGTGGTGGGGACAGTGGTGGTGGGGACAGTGGTGTGGGGACAGTGGGAATGAGGTGGAAACAGTGGGACAGTGGAGGGTACAGTGGTGGTGGGGACTGGTGAAGGCGGTGGCGAGGACGGCGGTGGGACAATGGGACAGAGGTACAGTGGGGACAGTGGTGGGGACAGTGGGGACAGTGGTGGGAACAGTGGGACAGCTCAGTGGGACAGCGGAAGACTTAGTGGGACAGTGGGGACAGTGGGGATAGTCGGGCAGTGGTTGGGGCCGTGGAGAAAGTGGGGAGAGTGGAACCGTGGAGGGAACAGTGGTGGGGACAGGGGGGACAGTGCGACAGTGGTGGGGGCACTGGAGGACCTGAGCGGGAGGAATGCAGCGACTGGGCCGTCGGGCGGGTCGCTGCTGGACCAGGCGACGGGGAACCCGCCCGACGGCCGCCGCCTCTATCGGTTCCGTGCGCGGCCCGGCCTGGACGAGGTTGTGGAGCTGGCGGCGGAGTGTCGGGCCACTATGCTCAGGCGTGGGCAGGCCGAGGCGGAGGGGCCGACGAGAGTGGTGCTGGCCGACGGGGCGGTGCGCCCCGGCCACGACTACTTCCCGTGGCTGGTGGCCCCGCGCCCGTGGGTGCTGACGGAGCCGCTCCCTGGCATGCCCATCGGGACCGTGGTGGATCCGCTCCCGGTGGGGGCGCTGCGCGACGGGAGCCGGGCCCTCAGTCTGCTCCCGAGCTGCGGCCGCTGGGCGAGGCTCGAGCAGGTGGACGAGGGCCAGATCGTCGAGTGGGCTGCCAAGAGGACGAAGGAGCTGTTGCTCGACCTCGGCGCGGAGCCCGACGCCATGGGCGCCGCCGAGCCGGTCGGCGGGACTGAGACCCCTCCGCTGCGCGAGGCTCGCTCGTCTGGAGGCGACCGCCTAGGCGAGAAGCTGGGGCTGACCGCGGAGGAGCCCGCCGAGTCGGCCGCAGGGAAGGACGACGCCAGCGGCGACGCGCGCACGCTGTGGGTCGACTGGGACGAGCAGGGCGAACGCAGGAAGGAGTTCAAGCGGGCGGTGGCTGAGAGCTCGGATGTGAAGTGGGACCATCACAGGCTGCCCGCCGACCGCACCTGCCTCCACACGTGCAAGATGATGGTGAACTTGAGTGGGTCCCCGCGCGCATGGCTGGAGCGCTTTCTCAGGGAAAAGGGGATAGCTTCTACGGATCGAGTTGCGCACGAACTCCGAGTGTTGTGCGACATCCTGGAGGAGGCAGGCGAGTTTGACCAGATCAATCTCGGAGGACTGGCCTGCTTGGAAGTGGCCGCCCTCCGGCTGAACCTGCTGGTGGACGCGCACAAGAGCGGGCCGGCCTCGTACTCGAACGCGAAGTACCTCTCGCCGCTGACCGACGTGGACCAGTTGATGGCTCCTGGCTTGCGGTCTCACGTGTCGAGGCGCGCCAAGGAGGAGTACGAGCTGATGCAGGGCGACAGGAAGGCCGAGGCGGTTGCTGCTGGGTCGGCTGGCGCGCGGGTTCCGCCGCGCGAGGGGGCCGATGACTCGGCCAAGGGTGGCAAGGGCGGCGGCGGGGGCGGCCGGGGTAACAAGACCCGGGCGCGAGCCCTCGCGCCGCCCGTGCAGGCATGACGGACCAGTCTCAGCCGGCGGAGTGGGCCCCTGCCGGCTGGGCTAACACATCGGCCCGGCGAGCGCCGCTGGCCCTGGCGAGCGGGGATAGGGACCTCTTCCCCCTCCCTCGCCTGGCCAGGCCGCCCGCCAGCAGGGGCGGCAGCCGCGCCCGGATTGCTGGCGCTCGGCGGCGGCGCGAGCACGAATTGGTGAACGGCGCGATCGACTCTCTCAACTGGCTTGCTGGATGGGAGCCTGACGACGTGGGCCCGCCGCGCTCCCTGGACGCCATGGGGGGCAAGCATGCTGGGATCGTGCAGTGGGTGGCCAGCGAAGCTCTTCGGCGCCAAGCCGCAGCTCCCAGCCCCTGTCCGTCCCAAGAGGCATCGCTCAGTGCGTTGCTCAAGGGGTGCTCGATCTACGACACGTCGGGCTCCCCGAGGAACCTGGCCTCCTTCGTCCGCGAGCGCGTGTCCTTGCCCCCTTCGGTTGTCGGCTGCCTCCAGGTGGACGATATCGTGGGCGAGGCCGGCCGCACCTACCTGAAGGAGAATCAAAAGCGTATGAGGCGGCCGATCGAGGAGATCGATTTCGACAGCTTGCCGACTCCCTATTTTGACCCGCTGCTGAAGCGGAACAAGAAGATGTACCACAACTTTTTGAAGGATCTCTCGTCCCGCGGGCTCTTGCTCGCCACCTTGTCTCCCGCAGAGCAGGCTGGCCTGTTCTTCGTGAAGAAGGCCGACAGCGACAAGATGCGCATGATCGTGGATGCGCGCCGGGCGAACGCTTGGTTCGGCGTGCCCCCCAGCGTCCAGCTCCTGTCGTGCGAGGGGTTCGGCAGGGTGGAGGTGAAGCTCCCAGAGGGCGTCGCCTTCGGCTCGGCGCGGGGAGAGGAGCTGCTGAACGGCTTCAAGCTCTTCTTGGGCATGACGGACGTCAAGGACTGCTTCTACAGGATGCGCATCCCGGTGAGCCTGGCGAAGTTCTTCTCGCTGCCCGCCGCCCCGGCTCACGTCCTGGGCCTGGAGGGGCACGAGCTGGAGGGGACGAGGCTGGGCTGCGACACCCTCGTCTTCCCCTGCATCGGGGCTCTCCCCATGGGATTCTCTTGGTCCCTTTTCCTCGCCCAAGACGCGAACGAGGAGAGGGTCGTCCGGTCTGATCCGTGGCCAGGGGGAGACATGGCAGTCTCGGAGCGGGTCCTGATGAGTGATCGCGGACCGCCGCTCGTCGTGGAGGTTGAGCCCGGGCTGCACGGGGGTGCCTACGTGTACGTCGACAACATGGGGGTGCTCGCCCCCTCGGAGGGCCTCGCCAAGAGCGCCCTCGAGAGCTGGACTGGTCTCTTCGAGGGGGTCGGCCTTGACTTGCACAAGAGCTCGGTGGGCTCGGGCGCGTGCGAGGCGCTCGGGACCAAGCTTGACCTCGAGCTGATGAGGTCGGGCGTGAGCGACGGACGGTTCTGGAAGGTGTACCTGGGGCTGGGGGGCCTGCTAGCCCGCGGCCGAGCGACAGGGCGCGCCTTGGAGGTGGTGCTGGGCCACTGCACCTTCTGCGGGCTGGCCCTCCGAGGGTCTCTGAGTTGCTGGCACGCCTCGTACCGCTTCATCCAGCGGCACTACCTGGAGCCCGCCCGGCTGTGGGCAGAAGTCGTGAAGGAGATCAGGATGTTCCGCGGGCTGCTCACCCTGATGGTTCAGGACTGGTGGCGGCCATGGAACTGCTGCGTGCTCCAGACCGACGCGAGCGAGAGCGGCTGGGGCATGGCGCAGTCGTTCTGGCCGCAGCACGTGGTGGAGCAGGTTGGCCGGCTGCCTGAGCGAGCCCGTTTTCGTTCGGCGCTGGGCAGACCGGCGCGAGAGAGCGCGCTCGCTGCCGCCAACCTTGCTTGGGACAGCTCGGGCGCCCTGTGCAGTTTTGAGGACATGAAGAATCCTGACTCTCTTGCGTCTGACCCCCTGTCCTCGTGGGAGCTCGACCCCGGGTTCGCTGAAGTGCCCTGGCAGTGGCTCCGAAAGGGGGCCTGGGAGACCGTCCGGTCCGGGGTCTGGCGTTTTGCTGAGGACATCCTGATCCTCGAAGCCAGGGCCCTCGTAAAATCGATCCAGCGGCTGGCAAAGACCGCGCACGGGGTCTGTGTGCGACAGCTCTTTCTGTCCGACAATATGTCTGTGGTGCTATCCTTTTCCAGGGCTCGTTCGTCCCGCTTCAGCTTGCTGGTTCAGATCCGTCGATTCTACGCCTATGCGATTGCGTTGGGGCTTACGCCCGCTATTCGATGGATCCCCTCGGAGTTTAATGAAAGCGATGAAGGCAGCAGGGTTTTTTCTGAGAGTGACAGTAATATTCTCACATCCCTCTTGGATGAGAAGTTCCAGGCCGATCTGAATCTGCTCACCCGTCCTCCAAGAGCCGTCCCTGTGAAAGACAATACGCGGGATCCTCTCCGTAGCCGTTTTGGCCCACACCATTCTTTCTTGGCTGAGATTCCCGAGG